TGGCGACCTTGTGTTTGGTGAAAGGAGTCACAAACTCATGGATGATGCTATTCCAAGTTTCTGATTCCGACCGCTTGTCCTTAAAATGATGGACTTTGGCTTAGTATCAAAATAGCAATTTTTGAAAAAAGAAAATCAGGAAAATATAGAATTAAAAATTGATAACCCACCATGCAGAATTTGGTTTTTCCCCCCATTTACCTTTTCATGCATTTCTACGTATGTGAAATCCTGTTACATATGCAGTTGGCAGCATTTTTGTAACTTGACATTATGGCAAAAGCATTTTTCATATTCAAAATCTTGTTAGGCATCATTGCTAATGATGATGCAGTTATTTTTATTGACTTATTTAAAACTTTGTATTTGTGAATTGGGTGAAGGTGTAAAATAATGATGTAATATTTGATGGATGTCAAACTCACCAGCTGCTCCTTGGAAAACCCTATACAGGGTCACTATGAGTTGGAACTGACTCAACGACATTTAACAACAACAACATGGAGTCCTGGTGTGTGTAGGATCAGCACTGGATGCTAAACACAAGGTCAGCAGTTCAGACCCACCAGTGGCTCCTCGTAAACCTTATATCAGGGCCACTATGAGTCTGAACTGACTCGATGGCACTTAATAACAACAGTGCCTTAATTAAAGTTGCCATTCACCTGATGATGATGAGGTTGTTTTCACTATTATAATTAGTTATGTGACAAACATGCCTTTGCACGAAGTTTCACTTGCATTTAGAGCATTTCCATAGCACGACATCCTGGAAATGGCATTACTGGCTAAAAGAGTTCACTAAAGGTCTTTTCTTAGAATTTTTGATTAACTCCTTGTCTGAACTATTAACAAAATCAGGATCTATCTTTTAATCAAAATATTTTTCCTAGTTCATTTTTTGGTCTTTTGGTTGTGTGTTTAGGTCTTAGTACTTATCTAACAAAATGCTGTCATTTTAATGTTTTTCAGTATACATATAATTCAGTGACATTCATTACTTTTACCATGTTGTGTAACCATCACCATCTGGTTCCAAAACCTTTCCATCACTCCAAATAGACACTTGGCTCCCTATTAAACAATAACTCCCCGATCTTCCCTCCCCCCAAGCCTTTGGTAACCACAAATAAACTTTGGTCCCTATGCATTTGCCAATTTCTAGATGTTTCATGCAAGTGGGCTGATGCAATGTTTGTCCTTTAGTGTCTGGCTTGTTTCATTCATTACCATGGCTTCAAGGTTCATCTATGTGGTAGCATGTGTCTGAAGTTTATGTCTCCTCCTGGCTGCATAATATTCCACTCAGTGTATAAACCACATTTTCTTTGTCCATTCGCCTATTGGACATTTGTGTTGTTTCCTACTTACTGGTTATTGTGAATAATGCTGCAAGTAACATGGGTATACATGGGATCTGTTTAAGTCCTGCTTAAAAGTCTTTGGGGTGTATTCTTAGTAGTGGAATTGCTGGGTCATATAATAGCTCTGTTTCCCTTTTTTGAGGAACCATCAAATTAGTTTTTGCAAGGACAGCACCATTTTGCATTCAAACCAGCAGTGGATGAGGGCTATAGTTTTTCAGCTTCCTCCCAATGGTTGTTTTCCATTTCTGTTTTTTAAATAATGCTTTTAGGAGTCTGGGATTGCTTTTAGATACACTCAGGCTTTACATTTTCATTTCTTTTTATCCACTTGCTATTTGTGTTTCCTTCCACCTTTTATTTATTTATTTCATGTTTTATTGTGAATTATATGATAGTTTACATGAGAGAACTTTAGTTTTACATTCATTCCACCGTAT